CAACGTTTTTGTGTTTATTTGCTTGTCTTATATATGTTTTGTATTTGCCTTTGAAAAAGACTCATTAAGAGTCGAAAGCGCTCAGGCTAGTTAGTTACTAGTTTCGCACTGTTCGTCGTCAATATTTATTGCATCTATATATATAATTATTTATATTAATTTCATTTTATTTGCTGCTTTATTCAAATTATCACATAAGAGCATATAGTCTGTTATACTGCCTCTGTCCGTCTGTTTCTTATTAGATTAGTTTGAATTAGCTGCATAGTTCTGAATATTATTTTATTTTTTTTTTTTGTCGTTCGCCCTCTCAACCATTACCCAGATAGGATATTATTTACAAGGCCTCTCCTTATAACATTAATAATATGTAAAAGATTGATTATTTATTATACAATTGTCTATGGCAAAATGCTTCCGAGATAAATGTAGTAAAACTTTACTAATTCTGGATAACTGAGAACGAAAATGATGCTTAAACTTATTTACTGACTCTAGTTTTACGATATGATACTGGGTAATTACATACGAATTAGTGAATTATAAATTTAAGGAATCACATTTTAGTCCAGAAATGAGTAGAATACATCTTTGACTGGCTCTATGAATAAATCTCTAGGTATCGACCGTAATTGCTGTTTAGGAAAAACAATGAATAATGCAATTTGAAGCTGGTATTTTGTATTAATTGTTAGTGTGTATAATTTTGCAAAGGGACATACTTATGTTTAGCCAAAGTGAGCAGACATGCCTCATACTTGTGTGAACAATACAGATGACGTCTGCTAGGTCTGTGGTGATGTGACTTTTGCATCATAATAGCTCAGTATAACCATTATGGTCAAGAAAGCTTATCACCTTGGTTTTGACTGCAAAATTGGAGATCAGGATAAGAAGTGGGCCTCACACTATAATACCCAGCAATACTTATGCAGAAAATTTTCCCAGTGGTTGAGTAGGAAAGGGAAATCTATGCCTTTTTGCAGTGCCAATGATTTGGAGAGAGCTAACATATTATATCAGCAATTGTTACTTCTGCATGGTGCCTCCAGTTGGGAAAAGTGTGTCAAAGAAGAAAATGTGGACTGTGCATTATCTAAACATTCAATAAGCTATATAAACAGTACCTCATAGAGAAGGACTGCCATTTCCTGATGTACCAGAATCAATCTCACTTGAGTCAGACGAGGAAGAGAAGACGATGAAAATTCTGGTCTTAACCATCAATGTCACATGACCCATATTTTGTCCCGTCCTCCTCCTCTGAACCACACCTGAGAACACAAGGTGAACTAAATTCAAGAATAATCACTGCTGTTTGGCTCCAGACTACAGCAGTAGAATCTCCTAGCAGGTGATGTTAGGGCTTTCGTGTTCCATGACGGTTCATAACGTGATCAATGGTGTGATGGCAGTCCTCAATATCATTGATCCAGATCAGCGAAGACTGTTAATTGATTCATTGAAGACGAATCTTAAATCCGTTTTGCTGCACAATTACAAACTTTTGTCATCAATTACATTTGGTTATGCAGACTATATGAAAGAAAACTATGAAACCATGAAACAACATCTTGAGGTGCATAAACTATTACCAACATCAATGGTAGTTTGTGGCGATTTGAAGGTTCTGTTCGTCTGCAGACTGGATACACAAAGTCCCGCTGCTTTCTCTGCGAAAGATATAGCCGTGCAAGAGATTCGCATTATATCAAGAGAGACGGGTTATTCCGACAGTCATTGGAGCCTGTGAAGAATAGTGTTCAGCACCCACCACTTCTAGAAACAAGGAAAATTATGTTACCACCATTGCCCATTAGATTTGTCTGATTTAGAACTTTGTCATGGCCATGGGAAACAAATACAAGCAGATTTCAAGTACCTCCGTGGAAAATGTCCAAGGTTAAGTGAAGCTAAGATAAAGCAATGTGTCTTTGTTTAGTCCTCAGATTCGTGAATTTTGAGATGATGCATTTGACGGTGCACTGTGTGGCAAGGAAAAGACGGCATGAAAAGCCTTCCAGTTAGTTTCAATAAATTTGATAGTTGGTGGAATACAAGGCAAACAAAAGCATTGGTTGCAACATGTCACCGAAGATAGTTGTTGTACTTTCTTCTAAACAAAATCCACCGAACTTGCGGAACAGTGAGCGACGAGCAATGCGTGCGATTTCACCAGGACATTTAACCAATGGAGAAACGCTATCAGAGTAAATGGAGCCATCAACTCTGGCAGACTATTGCTTGGCAGTGACAAGAGATGTTCAGTTTAATGAATTTGGTCAAGCCAAGAAGCGCCTTTTCAAGCCAAGAAGCGCAGAGTAGACATTGAATAAGGACTAAACTATGTACTTATCTATACATTATAGTTTTTTGCCTTTTGTTTCAAGCTATTGTTTTATAAAAACCTTTTGTTGCTTTTGAAAGTGTTATATAAACAGGGCAGGTGAAATATTATCATGTGAAGGGACGTTAAAACACACGAAAAGACCCGGGTTTACAATTTATGATTAAAGCTCTACTGTTTACACTATGCAAATATACGTAAAATGTAAAAACTTAAATATCTTGGAAGCAGCAGCCAATTAGTTGTTTTAATTTTCATATTTGAATTCAGTACATCATATTACATAACATATAACATGCAGACGACTTCTGAAAACTTGTAGACCAGTATTTTGTGTCTTGCAGTCTACTTAATAAACATGCTCATTTCAGCAGCATAGTGACACTATAGTCTGAGTCTATTACCCGTTTGTTTGTAAACCCCATCCCAAGGATTTAAATAATGGAAACCTATAATTTGATAAAAAGTGCAAAGAACTTAGTCAATTCATACATAGTTTTTTATTTTCTAACCTATTTGAGAGTAGAATGGCCATAACACAGTCAACGACTGCGCGTTTCATGTCTAACGAAAGTTTTCAATATAATAGACGGACATGCTTGAGACCCATTCCCAATTCCTGGAACAGTCCATTTTCAGCAAAGAGTTGTACATACATGTTGTCTGCTTCCGATATTTACAATGTTGAATCAAGCAAAGGAAAAGAATGACAACAAATTTTCCTTTCACGTGGATTTAGCTATCGGGTTCATTAATGTAATCATATGTGCAAAGGAATATAATTCTAAACTCAAAATTGTGGTAATTTACGGAATTATCTGGCAGTTACCGAAAATAATGAATTACGTCATTATGTTGTCTTAATGGAAATCAACTACTCTATAGTGTACGGAATATGGCGCCATGTTATTATAGAAAGTCCATTTAGCATGAAAGGTGCAATGAATGCCAGTATTAGTGCTATTCTGGACACAGTCTGGTTAGAAATTATATATCAATGATTCAATTGACTTAGTTTTGTGCATTTTTTATCATATCTAACGTTTCGTCATTTAAATTGGTAGGGGGGTACAAACAAACGGGTTAATAGGCTCGGACTATAGCACGTGTTCCAAGGTCCTCAAGTTGCTTTCATTCTAGTTGACCATATCTAAAGTGAGAACTGTAGAGTACATATATTCAAAACGGCAACTAAAAAGAATACCATATTTTGGCTGTTGGGTTCTTATATGCCAATCCATCGTGGGAGCAAATGGCGGATATGTGGAGTAAAGAAGGAAATGGTAGTCACATGGAGGTTATTAAGATCTGTGTTCAGGTGATGGGGAAAGAGAGAGAAGGAGATGGTAACCAACCACTTAAAACAATTAGAGACACGGTGAGTATATTGATATGATAGACAGAGAGAGCATCGGTTCGGTTTAATTTTAGCTTCTTTTCTAGGTTACTTCTTGTATACCCATGACTTTTGACTGCAAGAAACAAATTAAGAGCAACAACTGGACTGTTAGCATTAATTTTCCAAGAAAATGAAGTGGCCAAAACACGCATCCAGAGTCTTACAGTGACACAGAGCAGTGAACGGCAAAACTGTCGTTGTGACTCACATCCTAAACCATGATCCACTTCCCACTGCTAGATTTTCAGTCACTGAATCAGACCGTCCTTGTTGAGGGGCATCGTTCATAATTTAACCAACCGGAGCCGGCACAGTTTCTGTTGATTGTAGCGTAATTTTCTTGCCGATCTCAATGAGACTGGGCCATTTGTAAACCTCGAGTTCTCATCGGATCCACAGCAACATTTTTTGATACTATCAATTACTCGCATTGCGATTGGTACAGCGCGCGATGATAAGGCTGTCAGCACATCTGGTGCGCTTGAAAACAATCCTCGACCAGCCAAGCCCCGGATCTGAAAAGCATTTTATGTTGAATACTCCAAACTCGATTCCAGTCATCAGTTTCGATTTTGTTACTTCATTTGTGGATGTCGAAAACTTGCAGTCAAGTTTCTGACACGAAACCCAAGTTTTAGATTTGTTATGAGTAGATGCTCCAAAACTATGCAACAGTAAAGAATGAAAAAGAACAAGCTTTGCAAAATTTAACAAATAATTTATTTCACTAGAATACAAAGTTTATATATATATATATATGTATATATATATATATATATATATATATATATATATATATATATATATATATATATATATATATATAGATGCAATAAACTGACGACGAACAGTACGAAACTAGTAACTAACTAGGCTAGTTCGTTACTAGTTTCGTACTGTTCGTCGTCAGTTTATTGCATCTATTTTAATTAATCCCTGACAAACGTGATCCCTTGGTGGATCCAGTACGCTTGAGAGGGTTGTTATTCGCCATATGATTTGTATTCTTTATATATATATATATATATATATATATATATATATATATATATATATATATATATATATATATATATATATATATATATATATATATATATATATTGTCTCCAGCTAGATTAGATTTTAAACCAATACCTCTGCAGTGATATAACTCTTATTTCTTAATTTTTTTGATCAATTAATTTTAACATTCTTCCAATACTTAACAAGACATGTCTCACAATATTGATTTGCTCAATCTAATTTCCAACCGCTCCGGTGGTCTAGTGGTTAGAGCGTCCGCTTCGGATGTGAGATGTCGCGGGTTTGATTCCCGGTCGAGTCATACGAAAAACTTACAACAATGTTGCTAACAGCTGCCTCACTTGACGTTCAGCACTAAGAAGGTATTGTTAGGACTGGTCGGCCTGGTGTCAGGATAATGTGACTGGATGGTAAATCATGCTACATGTATGCGGCATGACACCCCAGTGCTAGACATCACTATAAACTGTCACACTAAAGACATCGAGGCGATATGACAGAAAATTTTTAAAGCTATGTTAAAATTCATAATCACATCACATCAATCTATTTTCCTCTCTCACAGAAATCAAATTTAAGTGAGAAAGGAAGAAAGAACTGTATGTCAATTATTATTGTTTATCAGTCTTCTCTGAAGTTAAATAGAAAGTATAGCCAAAGGTTTGAAAAATGTTAGTCAAAACATCAAAACATTCCGTATTAAATTGTCAAGAAATTTAAATTCATATAAAATCCTCAGACCGTACTTTGCCTGAATTTTATATCAAGATAATATATTGTTGAAGAAGATATCCTTATATATATATATATATATATATATATATATATATATATATATATATATATATAGAGAGAGAGAGAGAGAGAGAGAGAGAGAGAGAGAGAGAGAGAGAGAGAGAGAGAGAGAGCATACTCAACTACCCGTAATGGCTGTTTGGTGTGTGTGTGTGTGGGTAATGGCTGCTTGGTGAGTGTGTGTGGAATGGCTGTTTGGTGTGTGTGTGTAATGGCTGCTTGGTGAGTGTAATGGCTGTTTGGTGTGTGTGTGTGTGTGTGTGTGTGTGTGTGTGTGTGTGTGTGTGTGTGATGGCTGCTTGGTGTGTGTAGGAGTGCTCGTAATGGTTGTTTGGTGAAGGTATAAGTGCCCTTAGTGGCTTTTTGGTGAGTAGAAGTACCCGTAATGGTTATTTGGTGTTGATAGGCTGTTTGGTGTAGGCAGGAGTTTGAAATTCAGTGCACTTACACATCTTCATAAATTTACAATTATATGTCAAAATAAACCACATACGAGCGATTCAATAAGAAAAAACAACAAAATTGCCACAAGTATCATACCGTATCTCAGTTCTAATAATTAGGTGTAGCTATTGGAATAGGGAAGATTCATATTTCAATATCATTTCTTCTCTTTCAGTTTACAGTGCTTGTTCCTGGTGCTTTTTAATTCCAGTGTGGAGCTTAGAACATTCAATTCTTTTTCTAATCGTGCTATTTCTATTTGTATATATTGCAGTCTCAAGGTCCATAATTTCTATTTCTTTGGCTTTTTATTTTTTTTTTCTTAATCTTATGCTTGTTTGCTTAGTGTATTTGCTGTGTTTCTAATAAGTATGGTAGACTTAACAGATGAGTTTGATGTTGTAATTAGTGCGGATTTGGTTTACCAAGAAGATTGTTATATGCCTGTATTTGGATGCATAATGAAGTGTTGGTAGTGATGCTGCCTATGGAATATTCATTTCCTCAGCACATTCTGATGTTTCCTTTGTTGGTTTGTTCAGCTGTGCAAATGTTAGTTTAAAGCCCGCTGTGAGGTCTTCATGTTTAGATTGTCGCAACTTGTATAACATTATGAATCCGTGTTTGGTGAGCATGAACTATTTTACGTTGTGTCTTATTATACTCATCTATGCCATCACTGCTGTACCATCATTGACAGACATTTTATATAACTGTTTAATTGGTAAATTGACGTGTTGATTATTGATGCTGCATTTTACCGCCATGACATTGCATACAAAGTATTAAATGATAGCCATGCAAGTGAATCTCATCCTTGATTTGCAAGCAATTGAGGGATCTGGTCCTGGAGAAGAAATTACAAGATGGATCATCCAAGAAGGTATGAGTGCCAAAATTGCAAAAATGGTACTTGACGCTCAGCATTAAGAGGTTAGTGTTAGGACTGGTCGGCCTGGTGTCATGATAATGTGACTAGGTGGGACATCATGATATTTGTCTGCGGCATGATGCCCCAGTGCTAGACATCACACTGCAGACATCGTAGCGATATGACTGAAAAATTGTTAAAGTTATGTTAAAACACATAATCACATCACATCAATCTATTTTCCTCTCTTACAGAAATCACATTTAAGTGAGAAAGAAAGAGCTGTATGTTATAATTCTTGTTTATCAGTCTTGTCTCAAGTTGAATAGAAAGTAAAACCCAAGATTTGAAAAAATGTGAGTCAAAACATTCCGTATTAAATTGTCAGGAAATTTAATGTAATAGAAATGTAAAAAATCTGACCGTACTTTGCCTGATTTTTATATCAAGATAAATTGTTTTTGAGGAAGATATCCATATATATATATATATATATATATATATATATATATATATATATATATATATATATATATATATATATATATAGTATACTCACCAACCCGTAATGGCTGTTTGCTGTAGGTAGTAGTACCCGTAATGGCTGCTTGGTGTGTGTAGGAGTGATCGTAATGGTTGTTTGGTGAAGGTATGAGTGCCGTGCCGGTAGTGGCTTTTTGGTGAGTAGGAGTACCCGTAAAGGTTTTTAGGTGTTGATAGGTTGTTTGGTGTGGGCAGAAGTTTGAAATTCAGTGCACTTACACATCTTCATAAATTTACAATTATCTGTCAAAATAAACCACATACGAGCGATTCAATAAGAAAAAACAACAAAATTGCCACAAGTATCATACCGTATCTCAGTTCTAATAATTAGGTGTAGCTATTGGAATAGGGAAGATTCATATTTCAATATCATTTCTTCTCTTTCAGTTTACAGTGCTTGTTCCTGGTGCTTTTTAATTCCAGTGTGGAGCTTAGAACATTCAATTCTTTTTCTAATCGTGCTATTTCTATTTGTATATATTGCAGTCTCAAGGTCCATAATTTTTATTTATTTGGCTTATTATTTATTTCTTAATCTTATGATTGTTTGCTTAGTGTATTTGCTGTGTTTATAATAAGTATGGTAGACTTAACAGATAAGTTTGATGTTGTAATTAGTGCGGATTTGGTTTACCAAGAAGAGTGTTATATGCGCGTATTTGGATGCATAATGAAGTGTTGGTAGTGATGCTGCCTATGGAATATTCATTTCCTCAGCACATTCTGATGTTTCCTTTGTTGGTTTGTTCAGCTGTGCAAATGTTTGTTTAAAGCCCGCTGTGAGGTCTTCATGTTCAGATTGTCGCAACTTGTATAACTTTATGACTCAGTTTTTTTGTGAGGCTGAACTATTTTACGTTGTGTCTTATTATACTCATCTATGCCATCACTGCTATACCATCATTGACAGACATTTTATATAACTGTTATAATTGGTAAATTGACGCATTGATTGTTGATGCTGCATTTTACCGCCATGACATTGCATACAAAGTATTAAATGATAGCCATGCAAGTCAATCTCATCCTTCATTTACAAGCAATTGAGGAAGAAGAAATGTTGGAGAAGAAATTGCAAGATGGATTATCCAAGAAGGTATGAATGCCAAAATTGCAAAAATGGTACTTACAGCTGCCTCGTTTGACGCTGAGCATAAAGAGGTTAGTGTTAGGACTGGTCGGCCTGGTGTCAGGATAATGTGACTAGGTGGCACATCATGCTAGATATCTGCGGCATGATGCCCCAGTGCTAAAGCATCACTATAAAGTGCCACAGTGCAGACATCGTAGAGATACGACTGGAAAATTGTTAAAGCTAAAATAAAACTCATAATCACATCACATCACACCAAAATTGCACAAACATCTGATCAAAAAATTATTATTAATATATAAGTTTCTATTATTATTCTTATTATTATTATTATTATTATTATTATTATTATTATTATTATTATTATTATTATTATTATTATTATTATTATTATTATTATTGCAAACAAACATGGCAACAAAAAGCCGACATTATCGAAAATTTACTTCAGGCCGATCGGGTGTTGGAGAGATGAAGCTGCATGGAACAATTTAAAAATGCTGGCAAAGGTAACTCATGGGATTGTTCAAACATGGTTAGCCAAAAGTGCGCCGTGGCAAATTTCATTACTAGTACCAAGAAAAGGTTTACGTGGTTGGATTGATGTCCACACACCTAATGAGGACTACCAGGCTGATCTATTTTTTTTCTACATGATCGTGTAAGTCATTGATAGTATTGATTGAGCACCTACTAATACGCGTTAACCGTTGTCGATGTTGCAAGCATATGAAAAGAAAATAAGTTGGCCTTTCGACGTCAAACGATTCTGCAGGTGTCGCAGATAAACTCAGATGCATTATGCAACTCAGATGCATTATGCGCGCGAATGGGTTCGTGATAGACATGTTAATATACATTGTGACCAAGTTATTCAGGAACGATTTAATTGCTTTTGCGGAACGATTATTTGGTATCAGTAAGGGCATGAGTGCAGAGCAATCTCAGACTGTAGAGCGATCGCACGCATGGGTTGCACGTCTTCCATTAATCATAGAAGCACTGAATAACAAAATTACATGCACGATTGGATTAAAGCATCGAATAGGATGCTTCCATGTATTTACGATTCCAAGACGGCTTGATAACCAAGCGGTTATCGTTTGGGGCCTGGAGACCGCAATTGCAAATCGTTCAAGCAGAAAAGGAAATACTACCAAGACTTGTATGTATGTATGTATGTATGTATGTATGTATGTATGTATATATATATATATATATATATATATATATATATATATATATATATATATATATATATCAGCAAGTCTTCAGAATTAAAATGTATATCTCCCAGCAAGATACGTTTCTGTTACCTATTAGTAAATTTGGAGATGTAATAAGTATCCGCGTACTGGCAGCAGCATGAAAAAATCAATAATTGATGGCTCACTTTAAAAATATATCGAATCCAGTATATGACAATGGTACGCCTGTGTTGATGGATGAAAGCAAAATAAATTTTCATTACTACTCGAACCAGGCAATAGACCCAAATCGATTAAAAAATAGAAAGTGCAAGACACGTCGATGTTTTTCTTCCATATAAGAC